AGTGCGGAGCAGTTCGTCGTAGTTCGAATTTTCTTTGATAGTGTGTACATTGCACACGTCTAATTCATAATAGGTCAAACTTGATCGATATTTTAGGATTTGAATTTTCATATAGCTTTTGATTGCAATAAAAGTGTTTTGTCTTACTGATCGAAAGATCATATATGATTAATTTTATATTTATTCACTAACATAGCTAACAAAAGTGGACTTCAATACTCTATCAGAAAGTATGTCAAAGATCGAAACAAACAATCAGAACTTGTTTTTTTCCTCGAGATAATGATAGTATTTGTTAATTAATTTATGCTACGAACAGTGTTTTTGGATAAAAGTAACTTTTTTCGTGTTTTGTGATGCCTGTACCTTCCGAAGGGAAGGTCATAAAAAACGCAACGATCACTCATCTTGTTCAGAATTTTACGCTCTTTAAGATGGCATTATCAAAGAACAATTTCTACAAAGTCTTCGAGAACCTGAAAAATACGGTTTTCAGTTTTTTTAAAAACCTTACCGTCATAATCTATCGATGAAACCCTGGTATATAATGTGTTAGATAGAGCTCTTCATTGGCTATTCAAATCACTATTTGGATGTCTTCAACAAATCATTTTGAATAAAATAATTCATAAAATAAAAGGTACTCTAAACTTTTGTCCACCACTATAGTTTACTTCACCGAAAAAAACATGTACAAAGACTATCTTTTTTTTTCTTTCTTGATCTATGGCTCTGTGACCAGATGTTTATTTTGCAGTGAAATCAGTAATATTCATATAAATATTAATAACAATTGATTAAGAATTTAGCGAAGATATTTATCAACATATAGTGTATAATAACTGTAACAATAAACTGAACGAGTAGCTTACTGGCAACTTTGATATTTACGTTTATTGAGCGACTTTATATATGTCTACATCGCATACAACACAAATTTTCATAAAAGTGAGATTAAAGCAAATAGGTCGTCTGTCGGATTGATGTACCTAAATGAAAAAAAATGTCCTAGAGAGGTGAATAGCATTGGAAAGCTTGAGTTTTGAGTTTTCCAAGTGATTCTATCCTTGAATCTCTCATCTTCGAAAATAAAATTTCGTTATATAAATCACTATTTGAATTCTAATTAGTGTTGATAGCAGTGGAAAAAATTGAAAACAAAACCCGGTCTAATAAATTTTGCAGAAACGATATACATCTACCGGATATGACAAAAGTTTTGCGATATTGTTCAAGAACATAATAAAACTTTAATTTTTTTCTCGAAGCGTAGACTGTTGAATATTCTAGTTGAACCACGAAATCAAATCTATATAGTTATTTTTGAAATTTTAATAGACTGCTAATATCGAACAAGTGTACCATCATGTTATTTCCTATTAAGAGAAAGCCGAAAATTATTGAATTTTGTATATTCATTTTGACTATAATGTTTAGAATCAATCAAAGACTTTTCTGATGAGAAGTAACACGATGATCCACATGTTCATTGATGATGATTATGAATCAAAATTTCGAAAAATAGCTATAAAAATTTATTCTAATAAACCAATTAAAATATTCAATGGTGCAGCACTTTGAAATAAAACGATATATATAATATAAACAAAGAACATTCTTTTGCAATGATTTCTTTCTAGTCAAGTAAAATCATAGATTCAATTTTGTATATAACGTTCTTTTAGACTATCTAAATATATTTTATAGATCATTTTTATTTCCTTACATTAATCCGCATCTTTTTTTTTGTACTATATTTTCATTAGATTTGTCATGTAAGGTATAAAATACTATACAATCGAGTAAATTATTAATAAATATTGTATTTTTTCTTTTTGTTTATTTGATGATCGATAAGATTAAAGAATAACATATATATTTATATATATTTCTAATGAGAAAGGTAATTTATTGATCGTTTTGACAACGCAAATCATATCAAAGAAATCAAATCTGAGTGTCAAATGATTTGTCAACATATGTGCCAAGCTTAAACATCCCTACCGTAATGGGTGATGATGAAAAGAAGAAAAACAGGAGTCTTACTTGCTTCCACATTATTTCTTTTTTTTTCTGCTATTTACCTTCAAACATTGCATTGCGTTTTAATTTTTTTTTCATTCTTTTACCTAAAATAGTCCAACTAATGCTCGTATCATGGCAATTCTATGTCTTGTTTCCTTTTAACTTTTACCATTTAAGAAAAAAAATAAAATAAAAAAGCAAAAGAAACTAAGTAAAAAGCAATATGCATGTATGAATAGATAGAATTCTTCAGAAACAAAAAGAAAAATACTGTTCGTGTTCGAAAGCCATTCTTCTTTAGTATTTATTATTGAATACAGAGAAAGCAAAAACAAGACATAAACCAATCACTAGAGAAATTTAGTGTTTGCTGTCAAAAAAGCAATCAAAGGTTTCCGTTCAAAGTTCCATTTGCTAATTATACTTAAAGACATTTTTGCTTAGATAAAACTAAGTAATATATCATTTTAATCGATTTAGATTTACTGATATGAATTATATTATCAAAGTAGACATATAGAACGAAAAACTCATCAATTTAGTTATTTATTTTGATTTCAACAATAAATCATTAAAAAATATATATATATATATAATTTTATGTTGCTGAATTATTTACTAATTTCAAAAATAGAAATAACTAAATGATTTTTTGTTGATAAATAAGACTAATAATAAATATAATTGAATGAATTGGATATTCAAAACCACAACCATGTGGTATACCATTTTTTCATTCTTGACGTAAAGCAACACCAATATCTCCATGATGAGCTGCTCGATCAAGTAATAATTGATGTTTTTGAACAAATTGTCATGCATGGAATGCATGATATATACATTTAATTGCTCGATGAAATCCACTAAAATAAAAATTTATTATAAACATAGAAAAAGAAAACATACAATAAATTTACTCTAAACATCCAATTAATATTACAGCATTCATAGTAAAATGAATACCAGTTAATTGACCTTTTGTTAAACCAACAACAGTTAAGAGAATATATAATATCATACCGATAAATAAACCCTATAATTAAAAAGACAAAAAAAACTTTTCTTGCTGTCAAAAGTCATTTTTATAAGCGATCACGAATATTGATTTTATTCTTATACAATTTATAAAATGTATTAATCGATTAGATCAGAACAAAAAAAAAGAATCTTTGTTTTATTTTCATGAATGAATTATTTCAACCTTCATAAATAAACATAACTACGTAATTTAAATAGAATTATATTCCGTTAAAATTTAAATTTTTCGATTCTCTCCGGTTATTTTATTATTCGAATATGATTATATTTGAACTAGAATATAGGCTACTTTAGGCAAAAAAAAATATGACATATCCACCTTGCATTTACCTTTGATTATTTACAAAGGTTATTTTTTCTGAATAAGTTCATTTAACATACATATACGAAAAAAAAAATGTTGACTCTCATCTCAAGATTCTAAAGAAAGATTTGTAATGTTTAGAATTAGTTTTGAATTTTTCATTCGATTATAAAAGCATTTTTTTTTGACACTTCATTATCTCGCTAATGAAAAGTAAATCAATTTTTTTGAAAAATCTAGATATGCTCAGATAAAAATTTTTGAATAGAAATTTTTAGGTATTTCAGACAGTGTTTTATCCAGAGGGGTGCCCGGGGGGGGGGGGGGCGCCGCCCCCCCCCCCCCCCGAAAATAATTTTTCGCCCCCTCGGAAATTCAAATCGCCCCTCCGGAGAAAAAATCCTGGACAAAACACTGGCTACGAAGGTCCTAACATAGAATATTCACTCATTTTTCGATTATTTAAAGAAAAATGGATTAAAAATGTGGACAAATATTTATTCTGCTCTTTTAGATCAATTCATTTTTTTCTTCCTTTACAAGGTGAATAGAAAGAGTGTATCTCTGAAATTAAAAAATCGACCTCCACTTAAAGTGCTCTCAATCATAATCAATCAATTGAGATACAAATAAAACATTTTTCTATTACAGTTACTTCTCGTTAAAATCAATTCATATATTCATTTAAAAGAATATTAGTCGTGACAATGTTATAAAAATAAACAAGATAATTTTAGAATAAAAGCCGTTATTTCGATTTTTTTCATTAACACAAAAAAATAACTAATTATAGTTTTAGCTACGTTGAATGATAATCATTTTTATAAGTCTTTTTGTGTTGATTATGTTTTTACTAAACGTTTATCTTATTTTTCTCTCATAAAATGTTATTATTTTATACAATCAATTAGAAAAAAAGTTAGATTTTTTGAGTTTTCTAGCATATTCTTCAAATCTTTGTTGAATTTCCACTATTGAAACTAGTAGATGAGAACATATGATTACATCATTATTTATAAGATATGTTTGTGAAGAGAGAAAAATGAAAAACTATCGCATATGTTTATATACACACCTCGTGAATTGTGTGATGACATCAACTCATATTTTGTGTTTCATCTCACATAGAACTAATTTGGTACTCAAAACACATCTCTTCCATAAAGGACATGATTTTTTACATGCTGTAAATCTATTTCTCTTAATGACATTTTATATGACTCAAGTACAAACTGCCTTGAATGTCATAAAGAACAGAAAAAATAATTGAATAGAAGCTGAGAAACTTACATTCATAGAAAAAAAAATTGAAACATGGTAGAAGAGCTAAGGAATCGCCGATTTGAGAGGTGGAGGGTCTCCTAATATGTATAGAGGCTTTAATAAATATGGTGTTTTTTTTATCGTCATCAACATAATTTTGTTTTGACTAGAGTAAAAAATAAAATATGCACAAAATCCAGACTTATTTTTAATTATGTTTAATGTGACAACTTATACATCACTTCCTCGCTCGAGTAGAAGAAAAATTTTCAAACTTTCTTTTTTTTGGTCGGAAGAGATTAGGTACGATTTTAATTACCTGTAATCCGTTATAAGAAAACAAGAAAAATTTTCTGAATCACAAGAAGAAATGGAAGATAAATCGAATATTACCACTGACAATATTTCATTAAATACCAGTAAATTATTTTCTATGCATATTACTTTATTAAATATTGTTTGTAGACGTCAACAATGATGATATTCATGAAAATTTATCATCCTCAAACAATTATATTGATTTTCTACAATCAAATGATGATGACAATGAGAAAACATCTGAACTGATCGCTGAACAAGCAGGTCAGTTTGTCAATTCGAAAAATAATATATTCAGTTTTCCGATTCATTTAGATGCTCTTATCAATGAGGGACATTTGACTAATACACACATTCTTGGACTGATACAAACTAGAGTTTTATCCATTCCAAATGTTGATAATCAAAATATTGACAATATCAATAACAACATTATCTCAGAAGTAAATTCACAACTCGCTAGTACTAGTGTTCAACCATGTGTACAATCAATAATACGTATGATAATGATATGATTTATACCAAAATTTATTTTTCTTAATCTATTGAAGTTGATTCAGAACTTAATGTGAATCACACAAGTACAGACAATAATCAACAACAAATAAAAAAGAAAAAACATATTATGATTAGTTATAATCATGCATCAGCATCAAATATTGCACAAAAAATCTATGATCGTCTCACGGTAAATAATTCTCAAGAGTTAGTTTTTAATCGTATAACGTACATCTATCTCAATCAGATTATCAATAATATTATTCTTTATACCTTCACAAAAAATATTTTTTATGAAAGAAAAAAAAAGAAAATAAATATCAAACTATAATTTTATTAATTGAATTATAAATTAAAGAATTCGCTGTTGTTTTTTTAACACAATACTTTTTTACTAATGAATAAATAAGTTTCAGTAGTTCTAATTTTGATTTACAACAAAAACAAAATAGTGATACTTCGTTTTGTCTTCAAAAACATTAATCTTGATTTGTATGAATAGGAAAGACATTATAATGTATGGTTCGACAAGAAAGATCTACATGGTAGTGTACTTGATAGCATGGGTGAAGCAGTTGAAAATTCTTATGTTGTTCTTCTATGTATGACTGATGGTTATTCTAAAAGTGCCTTTTGTACAAAAGGTAAGCTTCTCAATATTTGTTAATGCCAATATGATAATAATAGAATCTATTGATTAGAAGCTAAATATGCTGTTGAAAAAAAAATTCCTGTTATTCCTTGTATGGTTGAAAAAACATTTCGTCCATCCGGTGGTCTTGGTATCATTAAATCTGATCTCAAACATATTAAATTGTTTGATGAAGATAAATTTGATGAAAATTTCGAAGAATTAATTGATGAAATCAATGCAATTGAAATAGGATTAGGCATGAAATCTGGTAAATGATACTTCTTTTTTTCTCGTAAAGAAATATTTACATACATTTATTTTATTCTATTGAATATAGCAGCACCTATTATGGATATAGATTTTCGTGATCATTTCAATGCTTTTATTTCTGAGCATATAGAATCTATTAGAAATTGTCATCTTCATCGAGAAAATCTCACTGAGAATGAATTCGGTACAATTCTCTATAAACTTATTCAAGCATTTTCTCCGGAAACTTTAGAATCGTTTCAAAACGATCAATCTAACAGTGTTGATACAAGACAATTAGAAACACATGATAATGATCGTCTTATTCAACATCTTCTAGAAAATGATAAAAAATTAGCAGAATTAGTTCGAATTCAAGAAGAAATTTATGCTCGTAATCAACAATATCTTCTCGAATATGATGAACGAATAGCAGCATTTATTCGTTTTCAAGAACAAACTAATAAAAATTTTATGCAACAACAAATAAATCAAAATGAACATTTGTCATCACTTATTCATGTTCAAGAAGAACAACAGCGAAATTATGCTTATCTACAACAATCACAACTTTTCAATCAAAATCAACAATCAATACAACTTGAATATAGACAACAAGACCAAGAAAAAAATGATCGTATCTCACAACAACTTATACAACATATTCAACAATTGACAGAACTTATTGTCAAACAACAGCAACAACATGCCAAAGATACTGAATCTTTGCATCAATTAGTTAACCGATCATTAGAGAACAATAATCAATATTTTTCATTACTTCATGTACAACACCGGCAAGCAAATCAATTCGATTTCAATCTATTCACGAAATTGATCCAAACTATTATATTACTGTGCACTTTGCTGGCAGTTCTAAAAAAATGAATAAACATTCAATACTGTGTCGTACATCTATTTGAGTAATTTTTATAATACATACATCAGGCATACTTACAATGATTGTTTTTGAACGAGATAGCAAGTAAAGGAAATCTAACCTATATAAAACTTTTTAACATCTACATATGTTTCTTGAATAAAAAAAAACAAAGGATCATTTTCGCATCAGCGCTGTGCAGGACAAGATATTTTAGCAACTTATGTACAAGTTATGAGCGATACAATTGATCAACACAATAGAATCCATTTTTAAACTTAGTTCGCTTACGTAATTGTAATCTATTCGAATCAAGTAAAGTGAAACTTCAAGAACTGATCAAATGAAAAAGAACATTCAGATTGTTAATATGACAAAAGCAATTGATATCCGTTATTTTTATAGTTAGGCCTTTCGCAATAATCAAAATGTGTATATGTTATGATATAATTATATATTCGAAGTATATCCTATCATGATTAGCTTCTAGAATTTTCTTTTTGTAAAGTTTCGTTATGTATATTTTATCATCAAATGAAGGAGATTAAGCTGAAGGTAAGGGTAAAATGACATTCATGGCGATGTATCAACTTTGGTTGAAGACTAAGTCTTCTAATCTATAGCTTTTTTTGGTACAGTTAAAATGTATTATATACTATTATTTTTCTGATAATTGAACATACACGAAAATCTTCTAATTTTCAATCATGTTTTATGTAAAAGTTGAACTTTAAGAAAAAATTCATCTAAAATTTAAAAAATAATGTGATGCACAGCGAAATTTGTTGTAGTCCGACAAAATCCACTGAATAGAATGTTGATAGCATATTTATTAAGCCTAAATATAGTGTTGATGAAACTACTTAATAGTAAGTTACCGACATACTGATACTTGCGTCCGCTGTAAAATTTAGAAAGTAATTCTATTAAAATACGCTCTTTTCTGTAGCAATGTATTTCAATAGTTCAGTACATACTAACTGTACAAGATCGGTGATCAATAAACGAAAATTGCAAACCTTTAATAAATACTTTGTTTTTCAATTTTTTCTATCAAAAATTATTCTTCATAGATTTTGTTCAATCATTTCGATTCGAGTTAAATAATATATTTATACTCATTGCTTTTATGAACTTAATAATCTGCAATACAAGTGTTATTCAGAAGTTTCTCAGACTAATTTTATTTAAAAACAAAAAAGAAGCATTACTACTTCAATATTGATGTCAGAAGCATTTATGTCCAGACACAACAATAGTTTCTTGATTACTCTATGAGTATGTGATGGCAGTTTATAATGATCGACACTATATTGTATTTTTAAAGATGGACAATAAAATATTGACGATGATTCTTGATATGAATAATGCGAATATTAAAAGTGTCAGAAGCTTATTCATACACGCAATTCAATGAAAAGCGAATACTTTTAACAATTCAAATGTATCACACATGTCCAAGTACATATGACTAAAGTCTATTCAAGATGAATATCATATTCTAATAGCATCTGAAAAACTATACATCATTGATAATATTAAGATAAGAGCTTTTAAACAATCAATTCAGTCAATTGTAAAAAATTTGAAATTTTCATGTTGTCTTTAAAGAAGAAGAAGAATTATGACTATGATAAATAAAAATTGATAATTTTACGCTTACTCATTTTGATATATATATATATGTGATAAGACAACTTATGTTAAATATTACGCATAAAAATGATAATAAAATGTCACCTGTATTGTAAGTTCTCTATGACATATCTTTTAACACATAGAATTTTATCTATGAATTAATGTTTAGATTTTACATTGATTAAATAAATCTTTATAAATATAATTATTAATTCATATAAAATGTGATCAAATTTTAAATTCGAATATATTCGATAATATTGAAACTATATTATATTACTCTTTTTTTTTTGTTGTTGTAACGTTGATGATCTCAATTTTTGCATATATAAATAAATTTCACTTAAGAAAGCATTTCGAAAAAAAAAAAAAAACTTTTCACTTAACAATTCAATTTTTATTTAAAAGATTATATAATCTTTTTAAATGAATTCATTTCTAAGTATCTGCATATTATTTTTATTCTTATGTTATATTGTTGTTTTTTCTTATCATCTACTTCATGTCGATATATCGAACAGCCAACCTTTCATTTGAATATATATTGTCATTTTTCTTCTTCTTTATAGAGTATGTCTCTAAACGGACAAATAATAATATCGTTGCATCTTGTTGATTTCTTTTTCTAAATTATTAGTCTGAAGTAGAAAATGTAAGGCTATACAACAAAAAAAAAAAGAAGGAAGGGAGTGTTTTGTATCGATTGACAATTCTCTCATTGATGTTTTAGTATGAAGGAAGCCAATATAGAGAATTGATCTAAAGTGTTTTTTTGAACATTAATTATACAATAATTTGCTTCATTTTAGTTTCAATATATTAAAAATTATTCAAACGAATAACAACAACAACAAAAGGTATATAAATTTTTATTTCTTTCAAATTCTTTCTTTTTTTCTTGTCTGTATGTTTCAATTTTTGTTTGCATATACATACATCATTTCTTTTGTTGTTTTGATTTATTTATCAAGAGAAAAGACGAGAGAAAGAGAGAAAAAAAATAAAAAAAAAGGAAAAATGAATGAAGTAAGATGTTCGTGATTGTCAAGGTTGGTTTATATTTATTTTCTTTGAGGTTTTGAATAATCATGATCATAATATTAAATTAATAAAACAAACAGATAGAATAACTGGATCGAAGAAAAACTTATTACCAATCAACATTCATCATCACAAGAAGTATAAAAATTTATTTATTAAGAAATAGAAAATTATTATTATTCTTCATAATAGATTATAAATGAATATCATGAAGAATTAAGAATAAATTTAAAAAAAAAAATACAAATACAATGGAAAATATTATTCAACAAAATCCAATTTTATCTCAATCGAATCAAGATTCACGATTAAATCGTTCATTAGAAACAAGTCAAGTTGTTGCGGTTGCTGCATCTATTAATTTAAAAGTATAAAGTCATTTGAAAATAATAGAATTTTTTTTCTTGTTATAAATTATGTACTTTTAAATATTATTGTTGTAGAATCTTCTTTCTTATCAAGATGTTATGAATGCCATTGAACGTGATTATCATTTACATGAAGGACAAGAACGTGAAATAATTATGAAATTATGGTTAAAAGGGCAAACAATGATTGCAATTTTACAACGTTTTAGATATTTATTACAAGATCTTAATATAGATGATAAAGATTTTTCTGAAGGATTAAAAGTTTGTATAAATAATATTCACAATAATTTATTCAATATTTACAAAGAAAAAAAAAAAGATTTCTATTAATACATATTTAACTATTGTTTATTCAAAATATGATTAGATTTTTTTCTGCTACATAAAACATATTCATATTTTCTTAAACAAAAAAAAAAAAAGGGGGTTATAACTAATATGTTTTTATGTATTCGAAATACATATATATATATTTTTTTTTGTTGTACTATTATTCTGAAGTATGTGTATGGGAATGAGATTTAATTTCTACATATTGTTATTGCATTCTTTAAACACTTGTAAGATATCTTTCTCAGACGGCTATTCTATTTATATGTAATAAGTATCTTGTTGATATTTTTTTCTTTTTTTGATCTAGAGATCGATTACATTTGAATTGTTTTTTTTTTTTTTGTTTTTATTTAGCAAATACGTGAAAAACTAAATTATGCTCATCGTGATGTATATTATCTTCAAGAAAAAAATCTTATACTTGAAAATCAAAATCATTTTCTTGAAAATGAATTTAAACGACAATTAGATAAAATAGTTGAAGAAAAAAATGAACATATTAATCGACTTATACATATTATTGATCAAACATATACACGATCAAATCAAATAAATAATCATATTAATGATGAATATTATTCATCAAGTAAATAAATACAATAAATTTGATTATATTCTAAAAGTTAAAATAATAGACATCAAATATTTTATTTGTAGAAAAAAAAAAATCTAATGATCATATTATTTTTTTTTTGCTTTTCTATGAAACCTTTTTACTATTCAACAAAATGGATTCTATATGTAATTGAGAATAAGAATAAGTATATTTTATGTATAGGTTATAATAATGAAAAATTCAAAGTCTCATCTAAATCTAAATTTTAACCAAGGTATGAATTGAAGTATACTTTTACATATCTCATTATACAAAATAAACTAACCTTGTGATTACTATTGATCAAGGTAATTTCGATTAATTGGAGAATTTTTCCTACAGTTAACAAGCTTCAAATATAATCAAATTATAACAATAGAAACAAGGCTAATTTGATATCGAATTTTGTTTTTTTTTTCGATTAGTAAAATCTTTATTAGAGCTCATCGGATTAATTTCGAACTCGAGATTTTTACTATTGTTTGATTCTGTCATTACATTTCAAAATATATTTTGTAAACTTTTTTTATGATTGTTAAAAACAAAATTTCTCTTTTCTTCATTTCATTGTTTATAGTTTTGATTGAAATATGTAAAATATCTATATATTTAATTTCTTAAAGTCATATATACTAGCAGTAAGATTAAATCTAAAAACCTATTGCAGATTTGAAGTAAATGTTATAATAAACATTAAGATTAATCACAAAATAAATATTCAATTTTTCTTTGTAAGAGTTATGCTTCTGCATAAGAACATACATCAATTAGTTAAATTCCCGTATTTAGAATTTTGTTTAGAATAAAGCAATGAAATAAAATAGGTTAAATATGAGTCAAAACTGTATAACATTTATTAATGTCCATTTCAGAGTTAAATGGCCATGAGCATTTTTTGAATAACTTTTGATAGGAACGAGATAGAAATCTCCGATTTTCACCGTTGGAAAGAACAGATGAAGTCGCATAACTATTTTCCTATAGGTTTAGTCAAAAGTTTTCAAAGAATTGCTTTTTTCTCCTATGTTAAAAAAGTGACTTTTCTATCAAAATACGACAAAAATTTACATTTTTCGATTATTTTGTTGAAAAAAAATGAGGTGGTAAATTGTGTTCCGATGGTTTATATATCATACTGGTAGTAGTTAGGAACAGCATCTTGGTATAGTTTTCCAGCTCTTCCTTTGGCGATTCTAGAGCACTCCTAAAAATCAATAAATTGATATCATGACCATGAGAAGCATGCTCTTTTTCTTGAAGTTTTATATAAAACCTATAGGAAAATAGTTAAAAAAATCTTTATAGTTCGATGCGTCTTCATCTGCTCTTTCCAACGGTGAAAACCGGAGATCTCTATCTCGTTTCTATCAAAAGTTATTCAAAAAATGCTCACGTCCATTTAACTCTGAAATGGACATTAGTTACATGTAATAATAATAATGTCGTAGTTGATGGTTTCTTCTGTTGTATACTTTTTATTGTTGTTTCATCGAATAACAAAGAAGATATATCTTTAGTAAAAACTATCGTATATCGAACTTCTCAACTATTATTATAATTAGTTGTACGGATTCGTCTGAGGTTTAACAATAAGATCGAATGAGACAGTTATTACTTAAGTTCATTTACTAACGAAAGAAATCCTTCAATGAATTAAACACTAAAGATATACGAACTATAGTTTTGATGATGGACATAAGAAGAGAAGAACAAAAAAAATTCTCGGTTAGAATTAAAGATCATTATTAAACGGAGAATGTTATATTCTTACGGTAGGCTTATAATTCAATATCGTAGGTCCCTTTTTCCTGTTAAGTTACTTCTAATTTTAGCAATTCTTTCTTTTTGTTAAATGTAAATTTATCATTCCTAGAAAAAAATTGATATTTGATATCAAAATTATAGTAAAAAACTGTCTATAGAAGATCTTTGCTTCATTCTTATTATCTTCTAATGATATTAAAATACTGATAAATATATGTTGACTTGCATACTTTTGAGATAAAACATTCACTTTTATTCTCAGATATATTCTAACAAATATAATAATATTAATTTATCATTTTCTTAAATATGAGAAAGACTAATTTTTTTTTGTTTTTTGTATTTTGAAACTTTTCATAGAGAATAGAAATATTTAATTAATTCAATTCTATATTTTATTAGAAGCTGAAGACTTATCAAAAAAATTTATGGAACAAAATATTGAATTACAACATGAAATTGAAACATTTCGTTCTAAACTTGATTATATTGTAACATATATTAATCAAAAATTGGATCAACAAAAAACAACAACAACATCATCATCATCTTTATCTATACATCAATTAGTATTTGAAACTATGCAACAAACAGAAATGAAATTACTTGAATTTAAATTAAAATTTATTTCACAACAAGAAGAAAATGATCTTTTAAAATATTTAGTATGTATTATTAAAATTTTGAAAACAAAAAAAAAACGTAAAATTTAATTTAAATAATGATTAGATGGAAAAATCACAAAATATATCAGATATTGAACAAACAAAATTATTTTCTATTATTCAACAACGTTCACTTGAACGTGAAATTGATCTTGTTCGTCAAGAACTTGAAATTACAGAGAAAAAAACTATTCAATTTGAACAAACAGTATAACTACATTCTTTTTTCTTTGGATTAATATTCAAATTATTCATAATTTTTTTTAGTTTGATAATTCAGATGAAGGAATTAAATTTCATATGGAAAATCTTAAATTAAAATGTGATGTATTACATAAACATATTCTAACATGTAGTCAACGATTAGATGATATTAATAAACAAAATCTTATGAAATTAACAAATGAAAATCAAATATTAAAGTATAGACACAAACAAAAAAACATTCGAATTTTATTTTTCCTATGTTTTTTTTTTGTTCGTACAGAATTAGAACTCAACATGAAGAATCAAATACTGATGTATGATGAATAAATTTCTTTTACTAAATTTCTTTATATAAATATATTTTATATTAGAATAAAAGTAATGAACTTGAATTTGAATTATTACGTTTACGTGAACGTTATAATGAAGTAATTGAACATACAAATACACTTAAATATGAATTAAATAATGCACAAAAACAATTACATGAAAAAGAAAATGAAAAAGTAAATATTAACTTATGAATATTATTCATTTTCTTAATACTTAAATATCTTATTATATTTATATAGAAACTAAGTAAAAATATATCCTAAAGTAGATCGAATAAAACAATCAATCGATGATTAACAACTAGATATCGGTGGGATCATCTTTTCTTTTTTTGGTCCTGGTTTCAATTTAAAACTTTTTATTGTTTCTAGAAAAAATAAAACGACTTTTCTTATAATCTGTATGATTTTTTGAATATATATAAAATGAATATTGATGATTTTGAGAAATTAACAATCCCAGGTCGAAGATTCTGGTCACCGTATCCTGCACGAAAACACTGAAAGTCGCCGGAACAGGGTGGCAGTATTCCGGCCGGAAAAGTTTCGGATTTTTTCCGGACAATTTTCTGAAGAAAACGGGAGGAATTTGATCGGAAGTCACCGAAAAGTGTCCGGCCGGAATACTGCCACCCTGTTCCAATAACTTCCAGTGTTTTTCTGCCGGAACCCACTAGTACTTCTCGACCTGAGCATAAATAAATAAAAAAGGCCTATTTGTAGTTCATTAGTCAGAACAGAATAATAAATATGGAAATAGGTAGTCTAGTTCTGGAACAGAAAACATTACGGGATCAGTTTGCAGATCTCTATTAGCAACAGTAATTATATCATGTAATCGCACAAAGATTACATTTACAGATTTCTTTTATCAAATTTAAAGTAAAAAAAAAGAAAAAAAGTCAAGGTAATCATTTTGATCGGAAATGTTATTGCTAAAAAGTTCTTATCATAAGTGGTTCACATATTGTAATAAAAGAAAAAAAACTCCTGAAAGTGCCGATGGCGCAAGACGCCATCATATTGAATGCCGCCGACATACGTGAAATCACTCTCACAATTCATTACAATGAATACCGACTTAATATTATTTAATAAACAAAAAATGAAAACATTCTTAAAGCAAAACGTCTCAAATTTGAGTACCATTAGAACTCTTCAAAACTGCTCAGTTTCTATTTTCGTCTTTCTAACAATTAATTAATTGCACGTTATTTTTTTTTTTTAATCAGAGGTAAATCAGTTCGTGTTGCACATGATTTAATATCATAAGCTATTAATATAAAAAATATCGACAAGATGTGACAACCAAATACTGTTGTTGTTATATAAAATTGTTTTGTTTTTTTTATCTAATTAGTCAATATTGTTTATCATAGTATCATTTATGTTACTCATATTATGGAAATTGTATGTTATTATTCATGTCATAATGAGAAAATTTTATCGTATATATATATAGAGATGATTTATTTTCTGTCAAGAACAAATTATTTTGTTTTTTTGTTTAAAATTTTATATGTTTTAATTAATATATTTATTAATAAAATATAGATTGAACCAAATTTAAATGTTGATTTGGAAAAAGAACGACGACGTGCAGATGAATTTGAAAATGATTATAAATCTTTAAAAATAAAATATGATGATGTATGTGAACGTATTCATATAGCTACACATCAATTAGAACATGTACAAATTGTACTTGAAGAAACATCACGTCGTTGTGAACAATTAGAAAAAGAAAAGGTAAAGAAAAAAACACAACAAAAAATAATAATAATAATAATAATAATAATTTCATTCTCTTACATATCGCGTACATATTATTCTATGATTCGACTAGTTCAGCTACGGAAAAAATTGGTATTAATACATATGATTTATTATTGCTTCTCCTTTTTTTTTCTCTTCGTGTTTTTCTATTCACTATTAAATTTCTTAGATAAAATATTTCCATAAGCACAATTTTCTGCACTTACTTTTTTCCTTTTATCTTATATATAATACTCCTCTAGACTGAGACGATGAATCCAACATAATTATTTATATATAGATTAAAATAATTTTTTATTGTCATTTGTTTTTTGTTCTAGTGTGAAATTAATGCTCAATCTGAATATCTTTCACAAAATGTTCTTAATGTAACATCAAAATATAAAGATAAATTAAATACAATTAAAGTTCGTTTGTAAGTCTTTATTTAGAATCCCAAAAAAAAAAAAAAGAACAAGATTAAAGAAATTTTGATTATTATTATTATAGAGAACAAGCAGAACGTGAAAGACGTGAAGTACAACTTCGTAATGAACAATTTCAAAATGATATTGAACGTCTTAAAGATGAATTATTACATAAAAAAGAACTTATTTTTGAAAAAGAAAAAATTATTCAAGATACACAATATAAAAATCGAGAAATTCTTCTTGAAAGACAATCAATTGAAGAACGAATATCAAATGAATATAAAAGATTAAATGAACTTGTTGATAAGTATGTTAATTCAATCTTGAAATTTACTAACATATTACATTAAAGCAAAAGTTTACCATAGTACACAAAGTTCTATTTCGAATACAAAAAAGAAACCCAGCAGACAGTATGAGTGTTAGAATTCGTCGTGTTGGTCTCGTACTGAACCTAGTCCAGTGTTGGGACTGAATCAATATCTCCACATAAAATGCAATATATCTATAAAGGAATAACCCGAGATGAGACTCCAGTGATAACGTAGAATCCAGAGATGAGTGAGGTGCGATGCGACACCACACCGCTAGATTTCGCGGTTCTCCCGCGGAAGATAGCAGTGTCCAAGGACTGGAAAATAGGAATTATGAAGCTATCAAGGAATGATTAGTTCCGCTGTAATAAGTCTAAGAAAGATTAGAATCGACCATTGGTTGCTCCACAGTCACACGATTCATGAAAGTTGTGATAATGCTTTTTTTTTAAAACAGTTTGTGCACGTAATTACGTCTTTTATAACTTCTCAAGTGAAAATGAGTATCAGAGCAAAAAGTATCGTGCATATTCTATATTTATAGCTTTAATATTCACCGAACTGCAGGGAAACTGATGCGGAATTACTATTTCTTAGTCCTTGGACACCTTTTCCGTATTAACACACACGCCTATGCTCCTTCTTTATATGCATTGGAATTATGTAATATCATATCATGAAATAAAAAAGTATTTATGAGGAATGACTACAAAATTATGGTCCCTAAAAATACATTATTGGTAGGCGGGACGATGACAGTGCGCTTTTTTAGCCGCTCCGCCAGTGTTCTATTCAGGTTTTTTTTCTCCGGAGGGGCGATTTGAAATTCCGGGAGGGCGAAAAATTTTTTTCGGCGGCCGGGGGGCAAGCCATATAGTTCATCGCGCGATGATCACGAGTCGCATCCCTCTGGATAAAACACTGCGCTCCGCTCATCTCTGGTAGGAATCTATTGAGACTAGAAGAATTCTTCTTTATGCACTACCCTTTTTGAGTTATGGCCATTACACTGAATCGTTTATCTTGGGCACGATATTTGTATTAGCAGGAGATTATAATGATTTCAAGAGCTGTCTATGCGCGAACCATTAGATCAAAATTCGTTTGTCCGAAAATCATGCCAAAGGTAAAAGATCCAGTGTGATGGTCATAAATTCAAAAAGGCAGTGCCTAAGGAAGAATTCTTCTAGTTTCAATAGGTCATACATAGTGATTTATCTATGGTCGAATCTCACTTTGGTGGTTAACATATATATATATATTAATTTTGTATTAGGAATAGTCATTTGGAAGAAGAATTAGATCGTATTCGACGAAATCAACTATCTGAAAATCTTATTGCTCGACAGTAAATGAAAATTTTATTATACAAAAAAAATTTTCTATAATATTATTTTTATTTTCATTTTTCTAGAATGGAAGTTGTTAATGATTCATCTAAACAAATTGAAGAATTAAAATTAAAAGTAAATATTTAATTTAAAAAGAAAAAAAGAATTTTTTTATATTTTCGTATATAATATAATTAATTTTTTATTTAGATTGATGAATTTGAACAACGTTTTATAGAAGAAAAAACATCAAAAGAATCTTTACAAGTTCAAATGAAAATACTCGAAGAAGAAAATACAGATCTTCGAGAAATAATGAATCAAATGAGAAAACGAGCACAATATGGTCGAAAGTAATTAATTCTAACATAATTTCTTTTTTATTTTTCATATTAAATAACCATCATCGGTCTAATAAACATAAACAGTAGAAGAAAAAAAAATTCATAGAACTTCACTAACAAAAATATGAAAATAATTTCTCATTCTTGATAAAATTCTGCTACATTTAAGTCTCAATCATATCTAGGTTATTCAAATATTTACCGTAGATATTGAAATTACTCAACAAGATTTTTTGTTTTTTATTAAGTTCAAATAATAACTTAAATTCTCAAAGACTAGATCTCTAGGAAATCAAAACTCTCGATAAAGGAAATAGAAAAATAAATTTTGCATCTCAGTCAAAAAAAAGAAACATTCTAAAGAATTCTTTAATCTAAATACAATTGATAAACATAATCTTGATGTAAATAGAATCAAATAATCATTATATTTAGTTTGTTCTATATGTTTTTAATGCAAAATTATTATAGAACGGCAATTAGTTTTGTTTTTTATCTATTTAAATTTGTGAATAGATATTGCAAAAGTATTTGAAATTTTAATAAAATTCGTGATTCAAAGTTTACTATTTTTTACATAATACTAATAAATAGATATAAAATAATTATTTTTTCAAATTGAAAATTGTAATTGTTAATAAATCTTTTTGAGACTAAAAATAATATTTTTTTCCGAGAAAAAAAACTAATGAAACATGCTTATTACAATGTTATTTTTAGTCATTAAAAATATTCAAAAAACTTTTCAATTACTCTAATATATTTAATTTGAAGTTCTTCTCAAAAAAAAAAAAAAAAAAACTTTCTAAAAGATATAATAAAACCAATTCATCATTAGTTTTCACTTAATTGAAAAAAAACATTATGTTAATAGAAAAAAAAAAGAAGAAAGACTACAGCAAAATTGAACCTGTTAATTAATAAATAAAACTCGTCAAATTTTATCTCTATGAAATAGAATTGTAAAGAATATGTTCTATATAAATCAGTTATAAACCCACATTCTATGTACCCAGTAGAGAGCTGCGGGTCCGGGTCTGAAAATTTAGCTTTTCCCGGGTCCGGGCCTAAACCTAAGAGAAAAGTCAGACCCAGTCTGCATTAAGTTATGAATGGAAATATATAACAATAACAATTGAAGTCAACAAAATTGAAAAAGAAACAGTCAGAAATAATTTTACACTCATTTTATCTTTAAAGTCGCCAATAAAGAGCTAAAATTGTGTTCCCTTTTCTGTTCATGTACACATAGGGTGCCAAATATTGATGAAAAAAGGATCGGGTCTAGATCCGACCGGGTCCGGGTCTGAAAATTTAGTTTTTCTGGGGCCCGGGTCCAAAAAAACATGAACCCGCAACTCTCTAGTACTCAGACTTTTAGCTTCTTAATTATATGTCCTTGTCTATGTATACAAATGATTATCAATAGATAACATACATATAAATATTTTTCATAATAACTCTCACATAAATGGCAAAAAAACTTATAGGTCATTATGTATCTCATTAGTAGTTGTTTTTTTTTCAGTAATTTTGACAATCGTATCTATATTGATCTGTTTACTGTCTTATTTTTTTTTTACCAACGTAATATATGTTTTTAATTTTGAGAACATTTTTTTTTGCATCTAAAGTATAATTTTTTTTTTTTGAAAGAATACCCTTTCAAACATAAAAAATAGTCTTTATTAGTAATAATAAGATCTTTAATCAATAAATATCTAATATATATATATATATTTATTATTCATAAATGATCTGTTCACATAATGTTAATATTCGATTATAAATATTTGATAAAATTGCAAAAAACAAAAATTTTTATTAAAAAAAAATATTTTATAATAATATTTTTTTTGTTTTGTTATTTATAGAGAAGAAAAAGATCGTAATGGTGAAATTCAACAATTAATTGCACGTGCAGAATTTAATGCTCGTCAATATATGACAGCTCTTAATTTAACAAGTTTTACATCACAAGCTGCATTAGTGAAGATAATGCCATTATCTTCAACAACAAAAATTTCATAATAATATATTCTTCAAATTAAATATATGTATTACTGTGCAATTTTAGTTAAAGAAAAAAAAGACACTATTTAAGAGACACATTGTTGTGAATTATTCTTATCTTTTTTTTTCTTCTTATTAGCTTATATAATATATGTGAAAAAGTTGACTTGTAATTTTTTTTGTTATTATATGTTTCATATATAATTAGATTAAATAAATAATTGTGATTTTCGAAATTAAATATTGAAAAATTATGCAGAACTCTTACATATGATATTATCATTATTGAAATGAAAACTCACAAAACATAAGAGAACATTCATTTTAATGTATACATTTTCAAATGAACTTCTTATTTATTATCAAGTATTCATCTAATCATATGCATTAAGAGGAAATATATTATATGATTAATTCAAACTATCTTACAATATTATTAAATAGAAAAAATTGATAATTTATTCTAGTAAAAATCAATTCAAACAAACATCGATCATAACAACAAAAAAACTTTCAATGTTATTTTAACATTAGAAATAATATATGTACATTGTAGTGATTAAATTGATTACTGTTATTTTGTGTGTGTGTTCAATCGAATTTATTTTCTAATCAAACGAGGAAATCCCTTAACTATCTTATGAGACACATTAAACATGTTATCATACGATGTAGATCATGATGAAATTGAAAAATGTTTTTTTCTTTTTTTGGAATTCTTTTATTACTATTTAGAATCAAGGGTATCTCAAAACGTTCCTTTTGCCTCTTGACACATATTGAGAATTCTCATTTTAATAAATCTTTAAAATATCTTGTGTTTGAATTTTTGATTAAAAAAAAAAAGAAAGAACATGTCTATAATTCTAAATGATTTAAAATCTTTTATAACTAATATAGAATCAATAAAGGTAATTCTCTCGTGAGAAAATATTATTAAAAAAAGAAAAACTAATCCTATGGTTTTCTTTTCTTTTGATTATTAACATGAAAGACTTGAACTCAATATAAATTATCCACTTTATTAAATGAGTATTTATCAATTGCTAATAAAAATTCAACATTCTTTTCTTTTTATTAATGCACGATCGATATTGACATTTATGTTTCATATTATCAATCAACTTAAGAGAATTCAATCCTTTTCATATATATATATATCTTGATTGATCCTAAACTATTGAAAATATTCTTTATGAAAACTATCTTAGTTTTTTTTTTTTTTTCTTTTTTATAAATAGAATAAGATGCAAACTAATCCTGTAAAGTCGAACAAAACAAAAAGAAACAAAACAAAAAAAAAAAAAAAAAAAAAGAAAACAAAAAAGTAAAAGCAAAATGCTTTTTTTGTTTAACATAATACATTAATCAATGCATTTTTTTTTCTTTTTTTTTGTTTTATGTTTTTCATTTTTTTAAAGAAAAACGCACCGATCGAACCGGACGTAGATCATATTTGTTTTAAATTATATAAGTCTAACGAGAATAAACAAGCAAAATGAGCCAATACAAGACACAAAAAAAAAAAAAAAGAAAATTACGGGACGACAAACGACGAGGAGTTAATAAGAAGAAGAAGAAGAAAAACGAGAGCCGTGCAAATTGTGTGTGACTCGGTTTACAGGCATTATGTGTATATATGGGCACAATTATGAAGAAAACAAGAAAGAAAATGACAAGCATGTATACCAACACACATCTGACAGCAACAAAAAAAAAAGAAGATATAGCAAAGATGGCACGCACAATGTGGTGGTCATGTGAACAATAATAACAACATCCAAAACAAAAAGAAGCAGTAAGAACAAACGAATTTAGTAATACAATTGGTATTCATAATAGGACGAAAAAAAAAAACGAAAACTGACAACTAGAAACCGAGATCTCCTTCAATGGCATTAACATCAAGATCAATAGCTGCAGGATATTTATTAGAATTTAATGTACTACTTCGTGTTATTATACTACTATTAGATCCTGATGATATTGTATGACATTGAGATAAATATTGTTGTTTATTTTGTTCACCAGAACCTGTACTAAATCCTGAATCATATGACATATTTGATTCTTCATAATGAAATACATGACCGGGAGGAACATCAGTAAAATCAACTGGAGAATGTGCTGGAGAATCATAATCACATCCGCTATCTTCATCATCAACTCCAATACAATCTTGATCAGCACGTTTTGTCATCTATATAAGAAAAAAAAAGAAATATGAACGGAAATGAAATGACAATCAAAAAAAAATCTAGTGATTTGATTCTCTTTTTTTTTTGTCTCACTCTATATTACAACGAGCGTACTAATTGTAATTAAACAAAAAAAAAGGGGGAAACAGAATGAAGTCTAATTGTAGTTTCTTTTTTTTCTTCAATTGATATAATAGAAAAATTGTAAACAGGTGCGAATGTCAATCATTTATTTTGTACACTATTCGTACAACATATATACAACTCAATTTGTTTATCAGATTTATTTGTTCGCTTGGGAAAAAGAAAAAAAATGAGATATTTTATATTTCTATATTATAATCATTTTTGAGTTAATTTATTTTGACAAATTCTATTATTATTATTAGTATTATTCTGCTTTTAGAAAAATTATTAATATAAATATGCATGACATACCTTCTTTGGTGAATTGCCATCAAAACTATATGTTGATTGAGTCTAAAAGAAGAAAAAAAAAGGAAATAATAAAATATGATAAATGACTCGAATCAGTTACATTTCTTTTCCTGTCTCTCTCTCTCTCTCTTGGGCATTGATTCAATGAGACAGCAGGAAAGAAACATGAAATGTCAGTGTATTATATTTATATACATATTATATATATATATATTATGTAATCTTTCTTGCAATTCATCATTATTCATTTTTAGTTACTTATCTATCGTATTCTCTCTTCTTCTTGCTTTATTATATATGCCTTGTCAAATCTCAAAAAAAAAAAGAAAAGAACGACGATGCATACTAACATTAATGAGAATACTCAATAATAATGAATAAAAATATTACTACTACTAATAACACTTTATATATATATGTATTTGAGAACAAGAAATCTGTCAACCCTTTTATATATTTTATTATAGAGAAAATTTGAAAAACACAATTTATATGTTTGTTATTGACAAATGACCTGATGATATATGTATATAATCCAAATGAATATCGAGACAGTAACAAAGAAAGTTCACACAATCAATAATGAAGAGTACATTAGCACCTTTCAGTAACATGACAACAAATGAGAATGATGGAATAATATATACATACTGAGAATCTAATAATAATGTGTGATAGAGACATTTTACGTGCTTCAATGAATAGAATCGATCACACATATATTCATGTATATATCAAAAAAAAAAAGAGGAAAGTGAGTGGCTTGAAATGTAGAATATAAACAATTGTCGTCGACAACGACGATAATGTTATGAAAGAAAGAAGAGATTCAAAAGAAAATGAAATAGTGTATTTATATTGACTGTTTGATGAAGCTCTAAATTCCATCAATGTACTTCTAATTTTCTATATTTTATATAACACGATGTCGAATAGAATATATATATATATATGAAATATTACCTGTTTCATTTTAAGTAAATCTAAATATGGTCGATGATCATCTTCACTAGCTTTCCGTTTTCGAGTGGTACTCGAACGAGTTGATATAGTTGTTGTTGTTGTTGTTAATTTATTATTAGTTTTAATTGATTCATCAGATATAAATGAATCAATTTTAACACCGGCTGATGCAGCAGCAGCACGAGTTAATGGTGGCACCGGTTTTTGTTGTATAATTGGTGTTTCTAATGAAAGTTTTTCTGTAAATGATGGTATAACTTCAGTATTATTGTTTGTTGAATTTTTTAGTTTAGTACGTGATCTTAAATTATATGGATTTTGTGTTGAATCTGATGATGGTGGACGTACAGCAACCGGTTTAATAACTTGTATACATTGTTCATTATTATTATTATTATTTATAGAGGATGATATATCTTTATTTAAATTAGATGTTGAACGTGTCATTTGACGACGAGGTGATGGAGTTTTTTTTATTGTTTCATTAAAATCATTTGTTGAATTTCTTGTTAATATTGAATGATGCTGTTGATGATGATTACTCATCTGAATAGAATCAAAAACAACAAATAATAAATTAATTTTCTATATATAATAGAAAAGAATTATCTATATATTAAAGAAATTATTATTGTTACTGCTATTACTTCTATAGTTGAGAGGAGTGAATGGTAATGGTAAAGAGAGAGAGGGAGAAAAAAAAACGAGAGAATGAGAGAAAGCGTAAGGAAAAAAAAAGAAAAAAAAAAAAAAAAAAAAGATGCAGCAGATTTTCTATGTGTGTGTGTGCACATGCTGACGTTCCTACGTGTCTGCTGTGAGTTACATTGACCTCGATATCAATTCTACAAAAGAGTGTCAATACAGAGGTACATTTAGACAAAAAAAAAAAAAAAAAAACTAGAATGATTAGACTTTACTTCTTCTTTGTCATATATGTACAGGTAAGATAATATAAAAATTTTTTATTTTGTCTTGAACTACAAACCTTTGTTATTGTTATTTGTGTATTATTTGTTGATATTGATCGTCGTAAATTCATTTTATTTTATTGAGAATGCACAACAAAAAAAACCAAAGAAAGAAGATAGTACCCAAAAAAAAAGATCGTTATGTTATTGTTGTGTGTTTTTTTTTTTTTTTTTTTTTTTTTTTTTTTCGAGGATAATGCGTAGTTGGATAGATGGATGAAAATAAGAAGGCAAAGTAAAGACGACGACGAAAAGGCCGATGTTACTTGTGTGCGTATGTGTGTGCGAGCACAAACAGAACAGCTGAGCGGTATGGTGGATAGATTGAGAAAGAAAAAGAACGAAAGACAGAAAAGAATAAGAAGAAGAAGAAAAAAAAAGAGAAGAATGTTGTATTCGCTATGCAACGACAAATCTCTCTCTCTCTCTCTCTTAGTTTTTTTGTACC